GTAGTAGTAGTAGTAGTAATGGTGGTCGTCGTTGTTGTCGTCGCGGTGGAAGTACGGGAAGGAGCAAGAACAGTACTTGTCTTCGTCCTCGTCGTCCGTAGTATTACTGACCGAACATGCATGCTTGTGTTCTTGTCCTTGTCCGCCCTTGCGCTCTCGATGGCCGTATTGCAGAACACGCCTCGTGGCTTCCAAGGCGAAAAGACACTGTACCGAGTCTACAGTCTCATAGACTCTGGTATGTACGGACGACGAAGGCAATTCCAAACCGACGGGACATGCCAACAAAAGTGAGGGGCAAACCTGCAGTATAAACCCTCCAAGAGCACGGAGACCAGTGCTGCCCAAGACAGAGAGGGCTTCGACGCAAAGACCGACTAACAGGAAGAAGAACAAACATCGTGAGCACATGTGGCCAATCTCCGTGTGCTGGCAGTGCCAGTAAGTAGTGCAGTGAGGGCATATGGGCAGAATTGCGACTGTTGAAGTTACATCCTAAAGACTAACGCCTGAACTTTCTTTCTGGTTGATCAGAGCGTGCAGTAATTAGGCAATGCCCTTCTGCAAAGGCCTGTCACGACATTCAGAACGGCGAACACGGCAAAAACCACGTACCTTGGCGTTTCGGGGTCGGTGCAGAAGCCCGCCTTTGCCAGTTTGCTATGCTGTGCGCCTCCACCCTTTAAGCCTAGTTCAACACACATACTAAAGTGACATCTAGTAAATTAACCATGCAACTCACGTATTGCCGAGGCCGTAGGATTTTGCTTTGAAGCCTGGCTCTCACACCTCTCTGCTGTCAGACCCCTCGTCTGGTGTCTGGTGGAGCAGCCTAGAAGGACTGATGGACTTCATGAGACCAGTCTACCTCTGAAGCATGGGCTGTCAGACACATCTTCCAGAATCTTCCATGACTGCGTGTTACGCCATCTTGGGTCTTGATTCGGTTTCGGCTGCGGCAGTGGTCTAACAAAGCGAGCTGTTGTCTGCAACTCCTCCATGCGCAGCCAGAACAACTCAAGTCCGGTCAAGCGGCAAAATCATACTGGCCTCGGCAGCAATAGGGCTCATTGACGGGCAGTGTCGTGCTTCGTGCTTCCATGCTAAGTAGCTCAACTGAAGCATCGCAGAAAGCGCCAGGCTTCAGAAAATGAAGCCCCGAACGACAACACCAAAATAACCAGGTGAGAAAAGCCGAAGCGGGGGAGGGGCAACAATCCCGAAAAGAAAGCAGCAAAACCAATGGGTCTACTCGCTGGCTTCTCTGGTACTGCCCGAGGTGCCACAGCGAGGTAGGAAACTGCGAACAGGGGGTCGAGCGCCTCCATCGTCTCTGATTGTAAAGGTTCATGCTGATGAGGAACATGCGACGTGTGAATCAAGAGGGAAGGAAACAGCATGGACGAATAGACCAGAAGGAAGTATGACACCAAAGGAACGAGCAACTATGGCACCTATATAGCTTGCGAACATCCATTCACGACCGTCTTTCTGAGAGTCTTCAATACTCTTGCGAACTTACACAGGTCGTAGTGGTGAAAGCAACTATTCACAGCCGCAATTTCGTAGTTATTAGAGCAGCATCGAGAGCAACCGTGTTGACCTAACCGTGGCAGGCAGCCCCGTACCTAGGGCCTAGCATTTTGCAATTGACAATTTCTAGACATAGGGTCAGAGACGAGTCACGAAAAATTCTCGGGTTCGCGGTCTCGGCCCGGATTACGCTGTAAGCTCTTTGCTCCTGTAGTAATGCAATGCGCAGACCAAGTACACGAACCAGCAAGCACACACCGTTGATATGTTCTCCCGTCAATGTCCTGGCGGATAGCCCAGCTCCGGTACTGTGATGGTAATTTAACAAAAGATCGAGGTCGCATGGTCAAACCTGTCCTCCAGTTTGGTGCGAAGCAACACCAAAAACCACTCAAACCTGAACCAACTTTGCAATTCAAGAACCTCTGGATCGAAATCGAAGTCAACCCCAAATGCCACATCCCGGGTGCCCTAAACCCTAAACTCTGACCAGGCCTCGCCCCAGCTCAAACCACCAGTGATGGCCATGAAGAGAGTGAGGATGCTATCCTCGAAACGTGCAAACTTAACACCTTACAATCTGATGGTACGGTGACCGTACAGATATATATATATATACACATTGTATGTAATGGGTATAATTCTGCAGAAGTTTGGGGCCATGGGCTCGCTTGAATCGGAGTTGCTCTGGAAACTCAAATAACACCGACACATGCAAGAACTGCTCGACAACATGGGCTTGAGACAAGCTGCGCCGATGGAAGACCAAAACCTCACGAGGAGGGGGTCACAGCTGACCGTGCCGTCCTTCAGGGCTCAATGATGTCGTCGAACAGTGGTCTGAAAGACTGGACGGTAGAGGATAGTAGGGGGAGCACGTCGACCAGCCGTAGCACATGTTCACCTATGAGCCGATGCAACCATCGTGGCATCGCAGCAGCAGCTGCAGCGTCTACACCATCATCGGAGCCGGCATCTGTACACCAACACCACCACTGTGACAATCATCAGTCTGACATGCATCATCCGTTATCCGCCACGGTGTCCACAAGTCGCTAGTCAAAAACAGTCACCATGGGCACCCACGCCCAAACTCCAACCTGAAACCGCGCTCGCGGGTGGTCCTCCTTCGGATATCTGCAGTCATCCGTGACGATCCTACAGTGCCAGAGGTGGTAACTTACTCGACCAAGGCTGCCAAGTCTCCGTATGTGTGTGTGTGTGTGTCTTTCGGTCTATAGCTGTTGAAGGATGCTGTGCTGGCTATGATGCTGAGTCCGAGGCTTCAAGTTCACAAGTTGAACACGGTCCATGACTCTCAGATTTGACCGCCTGCGCAGGCAACCACCTGACTGAATTACATCACAGCTACTTCAGCCAAGGACAGCGTGGTGTCGCATCGAGATCTGAAAGCCCGAGCAGCATCCCTATCGATGCCAACTGCGTGATGCTGTAAAGTCCGCTTCGCGATCGCCGTAGGCTCTGGGGCATGGTAACTGGCATGTCAGATGATCTCAGCCTTCACCATACTGTGGAAAACTTGTGCCAAGGTGCTGCGTGATTACTACTCCGAAGCAGTACCACAGGATTGCCAACAGCACCAGTGTCCACCTGGCGATAACAGGAAGAAGCAGCCTGCTGCTGATGAGCATTGTTGGGCCATTAAGGCGACTCCTATTGTGCTACGTATTCATCGTTTCTGTTCCAGAAGAGGCATCAACTTTCAACACCTGCTCTGAGATCCTTCCGCACATTGCCACCCCAGTAAGACAAGAAAGAACAGCGCGAGAAAACAAGCTGCCTCTCTCCTAGACCTCTGTTTTTCTTACCGAGCCAACAAGAAAACCATCCTAAAACACGACGACAATCGGCAGATGCAGGCGAAGCAACTTTGAAGATACCATGAAGCTACGAAGATTCACTTATGATCGGCCGGGAAGCCCGCGCCCCGAGGCTCTTTCTTGTTGCGCAAGAAACCACTAGTGCATGCATGAGCTGCAACGACAAAATACCCAATTCACTATCGCATGGCTCCTTCTTGCCAGATAAGCCAACTGAGTTCGACAGGCGAGCCACAAGAGAGAGCTCATCGTGCTGATGATGGAGAAGATGATAGTACGAAGGGCTCCGATGTAGCGCAAGAGCTTGATCACCTCGGACTTCCAGCTCTCGACCCGTGAGCACTCAATGACTATTTACCGGATTCTTCTGGTGGTTTCTTGGAGGCACACACAGTGCCTGTCATGCGCATCCGACTCGACGAGCTAGGACACGTATTCTGCCGCATCTGCGTCTGTGAAGCAGTCGAGCTAGGCAGCTAGTTCCACGCACGTCCTATCTCCTGACGCATACTTGTTCCACCTGGCAGCAAGTAGGTTGTTCTCGAACTACCTTTGCGTCATCTTTCGTCGGCTCAAGGAAGAAGGCACAGCCATCTAGTCGAGGTTAGCACATCGAACGTACTTAGTATGTGACACGGCTGAAACACCAACCCAGGTTTGCGACCTGGGTTGCCTTACAAAAGAACGGTCAGAAGATTGAAACAAAGTGTATAAGCGCGGAACATACGGGTGTCTGGACATGCCTCAACTCTTCGTGCTCACACACAGTGGACGAACACCAAACGATATTCCAGAGTCCCGCGGTGCTTACCATACTATGAAGACTATATACTTAACACGAGTCCACATGAGACTAACCCGACCAAAGTCCTGCAATGCGCACGAAAGTCTGGAGCAAGATGGCGGTTCGCCTTAAGGATGTAGATTCAATCCCGGCGTGTGGACACACCCCAAGCGAAAACGAAGCCATGGTGCTCGCACCCCTCGCAGCGCCCTGGCCAGGCGAGCGAAGCGCATGACCCGCAGGTGGCTTGAGTCCATCTGAGAGACCTCACTAAGAATAGGGTATGCACGTTCGTAGCGCTATACATAAAACCTACATTACGCATCTTGCTACTGGTAAACTGCGATACTTGTGGTCTGAGGCTCCTGGGCTTGAGGTCACTAACCACCAGTCGGGTCACCGCCATCATCGAGGCCATGATCTCGATGAGAGTCTCCATCAGTGACAAGCCCACAATCAGCCTGGGTCACGCACAACATGCTAGGATTGATGGAAAGAGAGAAAGTCCTGGCAGGGTTCAGGGATGTAAGTTAGGCCGTTGTAGTGGCAATACTTGGTAGATGCAGTAGTACTATGTCGTAGTGGTTATAGTAATGATCGTAGTAGTAGTAGTCGTCGTC